TATGACTGTCTGAACAATAATATAACACGTTCAAAATATCGTGAAAATAGTGATAAATTGTTTGTGGGTATGACAGCGAAATAAATCGTAAAAATAAGTAAAGTAGAAAACGACAGAAATTGGTCTGTGATGCCGATAGAATAGTGGAATATGTTAAATACATGTTCTGTTGAGCCGCAGTAGAATAGGTAGCATCGATTAGCGATGAGTGAATTTGAATTTAAATGCGTATTTCCCGTTCGTAGGATGATAATAGGCAAGTCATGAAATGATATCTGCATCGACGGGTGATATTCGTTTCTGTAATGCAATTGATAATAATCATAAAATGTGAAGTCAGTGAACGTTGTCGTCTGCGTTATGACAGATGCATTGAGTTATCGTGAAATATGTATTAGTCGAATGACCAGAGGAACAGAATAGTGACTGAGTAGACGAGGTAAGTAGAGTTGTACTCCTTTTTGGTCATGAAGCCTAGAGTGGTTTGTGTGGTTTGAGGGAGGTGCGCTCGATCTCGTTTGTTACAAAACCGTACCAAGGCATGACAAAAATACCAATACATATGATTAGCGATGGCGACGTATGAGACTGACTTGGATGTGACGAACAAGAGTGTATCTTTGAGAGACTAGCTCTAAACTCTATGTTCTGATATACAGTGCGATGGATAAAGAATAGTAGTTGCAGTACTCGAATAATGTTTTTGGGTAATTAATGATGCGGCATGTGGTTATACACGTGAAAGAATAGATAAGATGAACATAATGGTTACTAATCAGCTAGTTAGTGGCATCCACAGACATAATAGGCGATTTTGAAATGAAAAATGTATGTTATGATAACATAAATTGCTGACCTCGACTAAGTGAATGTATGCAATATTAGATCAAATGACGTGAAAAAAATTGGAACGAACTCACTTAAAGCAGGAAAATTTCACGTTTTGGATAGTAAAAATATTCCAGTGAGTTTTTGAATGTCATAAAGTGGAGTGTTCATAAAATGATAATCTGTTCTGTGAATAATATGATTACGAAAATGTCATAATTTAATGACAGCACGAACATGATTAATAATTCCACATTCGGTCATGATATTGAGAATCATGTAATAATAAGCATATAATGATAATTCGAATAGTAATGGAGCAAACTGACGAATGGATCAATGAGAATAGTTGACATAGGGACAAAGTATCGATAAGATAATACGACTTGAGCATGTTCATGTCATGTTGCACAGGCTTTGCTGAGTGCGTCGGATTGGAGATTGTGCTTGCTTCGCTGAATTTGTTCGTCGTTCGCGGGTTTACCACTTTTGGGAGGCCTCGTGGTTTTGTTGCCATTTAAATCGGGCGATGTTCGTCCAAAGGCGCATCATTTTAGTCGTCGAAAATATGGAGTGCCGTTGTTCATGAATCGACGTAGCTTGCTGCGTTGCATTCGTCGTCGGCGGGCTTACCAATGAGGCGGCCTGTGATCTGACTCCATTCAGAGTGTATGAATGTTTGCTATCACCTATTCTCGTATATCATTGTCGACTTAAATCACGTTAGTCAATAACGGAATTAAGATGAGTCAATTAACGAAAATGGCCTTTGAATACATATATTTTGTATGTAAAATGAATGAAAATAGAACGAGGAGTATGTGAGAAGCATTGTATTTGTTAGCCAGCAGCGGTATGTCACGCTATGTAGTAGTAAAACGGAAAGTGTGTTCAATGTCATTTACTAAAACAACAGTTACAGTCATTTAATGTTAAATATACATACAGTGAAAGGTTGACAAAATAAATACAAATAACATTGAAAACTATTTACAAAATAAGCTTGTCGGGTCTATCTCCACAGGCATAAAAGATTCACCAAACGAAAATAGGCTCTTCTACATTAGATCTGACCCATCTTATCATCGAAAAGTATTCGGTTTATGGGAACACTTTTATGCTATAACAATTCGCTATCGAATTATAACATTAACATTTGGACGTGATAACTTTATTGCCATTTTTGAATTAATCTATTTTTTCTTCCAACACAAGTGTAATCGATTTCATAGAATATCAAATATGAGAAAAAAACATTCTGTTATCTGGATGTCATATGTAAAATACTAACAAAAAAGAACTTAACATTAATATAAGAAATAAATGTTTATATATATTCATTCAATCACACGGTATGGCTCAGCCTTGCAGAAGTGCTTATTCTGTATAATTTGTCTTTAATCATAGTAATTATATTATTCTATATTTAGCCTAAATGTGTTCTTTACAAACGCCAAATTTTATATCGTGCATTGTTACTATACGACTAGTCAGAGTAGACAATGATGTGACTTCCATGTAAGATCATATAGATTAAGCAGTCACATCATGACATATCCACAATTTTAGGATCCGGTCTATTATTGTAATGGTATCAATAACAAATTAGATCATAATTCCACACACTGTGTAACTTACCTGAAAAAACCACATGTCACTGTCACACTCCACGTTCAGCAAAACCCAAATGTGACTGATAGACTATATTGAACACAATAAATCATTCTATTCCACGGTTGAATATACAATTACCTAATACGTTGTATGCAATTGGTTATGACATTTTTCACCACCTTTTCAATTATGTACAACAACGACTATACATCGTTTACTGCCTAACAACATTGAGCGAATATTCATCCAACATATGAGTCTAATTGATATGAACATTCCAATCCCTCAACGGAAATCCATTGTTCTTCCTACGTTGTGTGGTAGTTTTTACGAATTAAACGTAGACCTCATACATACAAAATAGGATAATCAGTAGAATAAAAGATAAAACCGTAAGGAACTGAAATACGAAAACAAAAATGAAATAATGATGAGTTTACTGAGAGACAACTTAAGGAAGATGGGCAAATTGTGTATTTAGTGTATTGTTTACAAATGATGAAATTAGATCGTCATCAGGTTTTCTTCTGATATACATGAACATTCTTACGAAAATGTAAACCAGTCAAGGCAATATCGGTCAATAATCACAATGAGGTAGAATAAGTCCCTACACATAATAAGTAAAAGTACAAGTTTAGAGTAAGAATACATGTGAATTGATAATAGTGAGAATAATAAAATACAATAACAAAACTCTTAACAATAGTTAATCGTTGGCAATAGAAGGTCAAACAAACGTGGGTAAATAGACTAGGAATAATAATCACAAAACATTAAAATCGTTACGTAATAAGATGTGTGTAAATAATTAGATATTGAAGAATACAAAGAGGCGGATAGTTACAAACCAATAATGGAAGTGGAAATAAGGTTAACGATAACACAAATAGAATGAAATAATTAACATAACCCATAGTGGAGATTTGGGAAAAGAAGCTTGCGTCTTGGTCTGTTTTAGACTTTTTATTAACTTCAATATAACATCTTCATTACGATTTTTGCTAAAAATATCAATGTAATCTTCTGACAAATCAAATGATATATGTGAGCGTAATGAGATATTTCGTTCTAGTTCTGGTATTCTAGACTTAATTTCATCGACATAATTGAGAGTAAGACGTTTTAACGAACGATGATTTGGATGAATATGGTTATGGCGTAATGATTTAAAAAAATGGTCTCGGATATTCGCGTCTGTCTATACAGATTTAATGATATTTTTTATAAACTAATAGATGGAGTTGCAATGGGCTCTCCATTGGGTCCTCTCCTGGCTGATTGTTTTATGGTGAACCTAGAAAATTCGGTACTTCGACCAATAATTGAAAGATTCCATTTATATTAAAGATATATGGATGACACTTTCATTATTTGCGAAGAAGATAGTGACCTCAATGATATTTTAAATATTTTCAATAACTGTCACTCATCAATCCAATTTACTTTAGAAGCAGAGAAAAACAACGAATTTCATTTTCTTGATATCCATTTAAAAAGAATGCCTGACGGTTTATTACAGAGATCGATATACAGAAAACCCACTTGAAATGGACAATACACGAACTTTCACAGTTGGGTTCCATTAATTAGAAAAAAGAACTTAATTCATTATTTATCCTCAAGGATCAGGCGAATTTGTTCCAACGACACAATAGATGGGGAACTATTTTATCTTCGACAGACCCTCATCAAAAATATTTATCCACCGAGATTCATCGACAGAAACTTGGTACCTAGACCTGATGATAAAGCATTGACAGTAGAGAAAAAAACTCTATTTATGAATATGGAATTTAAGGGTATGGTGACATATATTCAGTGATTTTTGTAACAACAAAAATAAAAACCACATTTTTTCTCTAATTTGTCACACTTTGTTTGTAACCACATTTTTACTCAATATCTGTTGTTTTGCTGTATCACTTGTTAAAAAAGACGATGATAATTGTTTCGATGAATGATATACGATTCTACTACCGCGTTGTTTAAAATATAGAGCACTATCTACGCCGCTTGTTCTTCTGTTTTATTGGCCACCGTTTGATTGAAGACTATAATAGTATTTATAACATCATTATAGGCCTTCCGACGCAACGTTGGACTTTTGGCGCGGATTACTATTGTATAATACTATTGGACCACGTCTTCCTCATTACGTCATTGGTGCAGTCGCTTGCAGAAGAACACCTGTCAATCAAGTGAACTCAGTTTGTGGTCGTTGTTCTCACGAGGAAGTTCACAAGTAACATTCATTCTATAGTAACTGTTAGTGTCTGTTTGTTTAATATACCTTTTGTATTGCTAACAATATTTTGTTACCTTTTGGTTTTACTAACGGACAGACATCTAGGTTTCTTTACTATTAGTTTTTTTTGGTATATCATCATTAACCTAGTGTACCAATATATTTTGTATAAGCTCCTTTTGTTTGGGAACCACCACAAATTTGGTGAGCCCGTAAAATTTTCTTTCTCTTGAAACTACTTTTGAGTTCACTTACAGACATTACGGCGTTATTTTACCCTTGGTAGTATTTAATTTTTCGTATATTTGTAATGTACTCATCCGAAACCGAAGGCATTAGTCAGGATAACATTTCAGCAGAGCTACACGCTCTAAATTTGATAAATGTGCCCCCATTCAGCCGATTAAATCCTCGCATTTGGTTTGCGCAAGTAGAAGTACAATTTCAGCGTCGCAACATACGCTCACAGGCATCTAAATACTCTTTTGTGCTTGGATTACTTCCCACTGAAGTTGCATCTGAGGTGTCAGATTTGATAGATAATATTCCTGCATCTAACCCGTATGATCAATTGAAGCAGGCAATTATTCAACGTACCTCATTATCGGATGAAAAGAGATTACAGCAACTACTGCACGAATGTGAGCTAGGCGACAAATCACCGTCTCAATTATTACGACACATGAGACAATTAGCTGGCCCTTATAAATTTGTTGATGCTTTCCTTAAGGAGATATGGCTACAACGCTTGCCAACTGTAGTTAGGCAAATTCTTTGCGCTTCTAGCCAACCATTAGAATTAGAAAGTCTTGCTAGCATGGCCGATAAAATTTTAGAAGTTACACCCTGTACTACACCTTACGTACAGACAATATTAGAAACTTCGAACGATAAGCAAACTCCCACCATAGCATCGTTAACTGCTGAACTAGGCGAACTACGAGCACATCATGAACGAACTATCGCTAGTCTTGAAAATAAACTGGATGCATTGCAATTATTAATCTCCAATTTCACATCTACAAGACCTCGTTCTAGTTCTCGAGGGAGTAAGAATCGAGATAACTCAAAAGGAAATAAAAACGACGACAACATATGTTGGTACCATAAAAAATATGGTGACAAAGCTAGGAAATGTGTTACGTCTTGTAAATTCTTCAAGTCATTTTCCTCACCAAAACGTGTCAACCAAACAATGGTAGCGACAAAAGTTTCTGGTCATGCGCCTACTCGTCTTTTCCATGTTCTTGATAAAACTTCAGGGTACAAATTCTTAGTAGATACTGGAGCTGAAGTCAGTGTCATCCCAGTTACCTTAGCCAATAAACCTATTGCTAAGAGTGGAAAATATACGCTAAGGGCAGCCAATAAAACCGAAATAAAGACATTTGGCGAACAATTTCTAACATTAGACTTGGGAATTAGACGTAATTTAACCTGGGTGTTCATTATTGCCGATGTCCGCCACCCTATACTAGGTGCAGATTTTCTAAGCTTCTACAACCTACTAGTTGACGTTAAGAGAAGAAAACTTATCGATTCCTGTACGAAGCTTCAAGTCCTGGGAATTCAGTCGGACTACCACATACATAGTATTAAAATCGACACTCCAGGAAACGACATATTCGCCACTATTTTATCTAAATTTCCCAAAATAACGAAACCAGACTACAGGGAAAACACGATCCAACATTCTGTTGTACACCGGATCATCACAAAAGGCCAACCAACTTCGGCACGTCCACGCCGATTACCACCGGACAAACTGAATGTTGCAAAAGCTGAGTTTGATCATATGATGCAGCTAGGTATAATACGTCCGTCAAGTAGCCCCTGGGCATCCCCACTCCACATGGTGCCCAAGCGAGACCAAGATTGGCGACCTTGTGGTGATTATAGGTCATTGAACAACATAACGTTACCGGATCGCTACCCAATTCCTCATTTACATGATTTTTCTCTCACTTTACAAGCAAATTTTTTCTAAAATCGATCTTGTGCGAGCGTATCACCAGATTCCAGTAGCATCCGAGGACATTGCAAAAACAGCCATCATTACCCCATTTGGTTTGTTTGAATTCCTAAGAATGCCTTTTGGATTAAAGAACGCCGCACAAACATTTCAACGATTTATGGATGAGGTCACTAAAGGCCTAGATTTTGTTTTCGTGTATATTGACGATGTATTAATAGCTAGCAGTTCGCTCCATGAACACATTGATCACCTACATCAATTATTCGAAAGATTTCAGAAATATGGCATAGTGATTAACCCATCCAAATGTATTTTTGGAGTGGAGAGCTTAGAGTTTTTAGGTCACTTGATCGACAAACGTGGAATTAAACCTTTAGATACAAAAATAGAAGCCATCAAGAATTTTCCAGAACCAGACTCATGGAATAAACTTCGACGTTTCTTGGGGATGATCAATTTTTATCGTCGTTTTATTCCACATTGCTCAGCCATTCTACAACCTTTGACGGAGGTGTTAAAAGGTAAAGTCAAAAAGTTCACATTACCCTCCGAAGCGAAAGATGCCTTTTCTGCAGCTAAAACAGCAATCGCTTCTACTACCATGCTGACCTACTTAAGCCCTGATCCAGAAGCAACACTAATCCTGTGTACAGACGCATCCCAGGCAGCAGTAGGTGCGGTACTACAACAGCGGGTTAATAATGAAGTCAAACCACTTGCCTTCTTTTCAAAGAAGCTAGAACCAACCCAGACTCGATATAGCACTTTTGGTAGAGAATTATTGGCTATTTATCTAGCTGTTAAACATTTTAACCACTTACTGCAAGGCAGAGACTTTGTGATACTTACTGATCACAAACCTTTAACCTATGCCTTTAACGCGAAAAGTGACCGTTATTCCCCTAGAGAAATGCGACAATTGGATTATATTTCCCAATTTTCGACCAATATACAGTTTATAAAAGGTGAGTCAAATGTTGTTGCGGATACTTTGTCACGTTTCAATGTCGATGCAATTTCCTTCACCAAGGGAATCGATTTATCAGACATGGCACGTTTGCAGACAGATGATCCTGATCTTGATGCTTGTAAACAAAGTTCGAGCTTGTCCTTAAAAAGCGTTCCTATACCGCATTCTGACTCTACTATCATTTGTGATACTTCTACTGGAACTCACAGACCTTTTGTGCCAATAGTGTACAGAAAAAGAGTTTTTGATTGTCTTCACTCACTATCCCATCCAGGGATTCGTGCTACTCTGAAACTGATTGCCGAAAGATTTGTTTGGCCAAAGATGAATGCAAATATAAAACAATGGACCAGGACTTGTGTACAATGTCAGCGCAGTAAAATACATAGACATACGATCACAACACCGTCAGCATTTAGTCTACCCGACCATCGTTTTCAACATGTTCATGTTGATTTAGTTGGTCCTCTGCCTCCATCTAACGGATTCACTTACATTTTTACTGCAGTGGACCGTTTCACTAGATGGCCAATTGCATGCCCAATAAAAGATATCTCCGCGGAAAATGTTGCTGCTGTATTCCTCGACAGATGGATCGCTAATTTCGGTGTACCTTCTACAGTTACTTCTGACAGAGGTTCACAGTTCCAATCTCACCTCTTCAATGAATTTACCCGCATTTTAGGAATCCATCACATCACTACAACAGCATACCATCCAGCAGCGAATGGACTAGTGGAACGATTCCACAGACAACTAAAAAGCTCATTGATGGTACAACCTGATGTTTCTAGATGGAGTGAATCTCTACCTCTTATTTTACTAAGCATACGTTCCACAATTAAAGAAGACCTACAATGTACTCCGGCACAGCTCGTCTATGGAACTAATTTAACCTTACCGGGTCAGCTAGTGACGCATAATAGCAAACCCATATGTACGGACCCCACTTCTTTTTGCGAAAGACTAATGAGCCATATGAATAACATTAAGCCTGTTGCACCTCGGTCAGTTGTCTTAAAAGAGCAAGTTAGCAAACATCTAGATACGTGTAAATATGTATTTGTTCGTGTTGACTCCGTAAGACGTCCTCTACAACATCTTTATGAAGGACCATATGAAGTAGTTGAGAGGCAAACAAAATATTTCACAATCAATAAGAACGGAAAAAAAGAAACAGTTTCAATCGACAGGATAAAACCTGCTTTTATAGAATGTGAAACACATGATAGCCGAAGGCCGTCTAAAGACAGCAGCAATCACACAACGCAGCTTCCAGTGTTTCCAAATGATTCTTCATCAACTTCTACGAAGTCAATATTTCGTAAAACAAATGGTTCTAAGGTTACAGTTCCCACAAATTTAAACCCTAGTTCCGACACTTTACCTTCTACGAAAACAACTCGTTCAGGAAGACATGTACATTTTCCTAAACGTTATGTTGAATTAATTACTTAATCTTTATTCTGTCATTACCTGTAGTGTGATTGAATATCCATATTAGCAGAGTTACTAATAACATTTTTTTATGCAAGCATTTTTTTTCTAAAAAAATTTTCCTTGTGTACTACTAACATTAATAAATTCATTATGTTTTTCTCTACATGTGTATGCGTTTCATATGATGTTTATTATTAATAGTGCAAATATATCCAATTTCGTTGGACTTGTTCAGTTTATCACTAATTGTTTACACAATTTATACATGAATTTACAATTTTCCATGAACTCTCAATTTGATTACCGTTATTACTAATGATACTATTATTATTATTATTATACACTCCGTTATCATTGTTAAACTTTTTATATACATTAAAATCTGTTTACTACAAGAGAAACATTTTTTTTCTTAAATATGTACACACGTATAATTTTTTTTAAAATAACATTTGCTTACCCTTTTCGTTGTGTAATTTTCTCTTCCCTCCAAAGCATTTATAGTTTTACGTCGGGCATACTTCCACCGACGCATGCCCTAGAGGGGGAGTTATATGGTGACATATATTCAGTGATTTTTGTAACAACAAAAATAAAAACCACATTTTTTCTCTAATTTGTCACACTTTGTTTGTAACCACATTTTTACTCAATATCTGTTGTTTTGCTGTATCACTTGTTAAAAAAGACGATGATAATTGTTTCGATGAATGATATACGATTCTACTACCGCGTTGTTTAAAATATAGAGCACTATCTACGCCGTTTGTTCTTCTGTTTTATTGGCCACCGTTTGATTGAAGACTATAATAGTATTTATAACATCATTATAGGCCTTCCGACGCAACGTTGGACTTTTGGCGCGGATTACTATTGTATAATACTATTGGACCACGTCTTCCTCATTACGTCATTGGTGCAGTCGCTTGCAGAAGAACACCTGTCAATCAAGTGAACTCAGTTTGTGGTCGTTGTTCTCACGAGGAAGTTCACAAGTAACATTCATTCTATAGTAACTGTTAGTGTCTGTTTGTTTAATATACCTTTTGTATTGCTAACGATATTTTGTTACCTTTTGGTTTTACTAACGGACAGACATCTAGGTTTCTTTACTATTAGTTTTTTTTGGTATATCATCATTAACCTAGTGTACCAATATATTTTGTATAAGCTCCTTTTGTTTGGGAACCACCACAAGGGAGATACAGCTGCTTAAATCCTAAATAAACGGATTTCGAAATCAATGAATAAAACATTCCACGCAGCTAAGCTTCGAATCAACTTCTCTAGCCGACCTACCATTCTGGGGTGTGTTAAGGACAAACTTTCGCTTTGGATCACTTCAATGTGTATCTATAAATTTACTCGCTCATGTGGGGCATGTTACATAGGCCGCACAAAGCGATCATTATCCAAACGCATCTCGGAACATTATCCGGCTTGGCTTTTGAAAAAGGAGCGAAAAACAATCACGAGTTCTATACTGGAGCACTTAATCAACTGTGGACATATCGTTCCAAAAGACTGTTCGTTTAAAATAGTTTACAGAGTCAAAGGAACTGGATCGAAGGGGTTTCGAATCAATATTTTATGCACCGCAGAGGCATTAGCAATCCACAAACTAAAGCCTGAACTTTGCGTGCAGAAACGATTTGTCCAACCCCTTATTCTTCCCTGGCCTTAATGGGTATGTTTCTATGTGTGTTTTTTAATGCACTTTTAATATTATCCATATTTTTAAATTACTATTTTGCACTTTAAACTCTGATCATTTATTATTATTACCTATTACAAGTTTTCTTGATTATCATTCAGTTTATTATTATGACCTTTGTTGTTTTGTCGTTTTTCTTCAATACCTGTCAATTGGACTATTATCTGACCCTTAAATTTTTGTTCTTCCTTAACCCTTGATTAGTACGTTAACGTCATTTGTTCGCTATTCTTAATTGTGTGGAGACAAAACATTCATTATATCCATTGTAATCAGTGTTACGTCCAGGTTTTTGCTCGTTCCCGTTATTGAAGTATAGTATATCGATCTATATGCAATTTACGAACCCAAATCAATAATAGAACGAAATTCCAATTTAGGTACCAAAGTATCTACATGTTATAGAGGTCTAACTCTCCCAAACAGATTGAAACTCGTGCTATTGAAATAAACAGTCTGACGGGTAGTCATCCAGCTATTTAGACCCTTAACTC